CAGCCTGTGGAATCTGCAAAAACCTGTTAGTTGGATAAATTCTCAGTCTGGGTGTCTGAGGCAGCATGCTTTGCCATAAGTTGCCAAGTGCAATGCAAATTTTTTTTTACTAATAACAGAGTGCCAAAGATTCCAAATGACTTTTATATATATGTCAGATTGTGTACCAGTACTTTCACTCACTGCATTCTAAATTGTGTGAATGTGTGTCTGTGTGTATGTGTGAGTGTGTGTGGTGTGTGTGTGAAAGAGATGGGGAGTGAGGGAGAGAAGAGGAGAATGTGTGTGTCAGAATTAAAAAGATTTAAGAATTTGATCTAACTGCAGGACATCCGTGGGATTGCAGCCCTCATGTGAATGTCATTTGGGGACTGTCTCTAAATAAAGGGTAAAGACTTGAGAACAGCTCTATAGGAAATGGCTTCATTATAGGGTGATTCTATCTTATGTATCATCCCCAGTATCTGACCCTTTCTAGTTGAGAAATATCCCAGGAGTAAATGCACACCAACTATATTTTTTAAGTAGGCTCCATGCTCAGCATGGAGCCAATGTAGGGCCCAGTGTGGGGCTTGAATTTATGACCGTGAGATCAAGATCTGAGCTGAAATCAGGAGTTGTATGCCTAACCAGGTGCCCCAAATGCAAACCATTTAGACTGATGTCAGAATTTTCTTGAAGTCTCCTGAGACACAAGGTTGAATCTCCCAAGGAATTTGCACCATTCTCTCCCTTTAGTGTTTCTAAGAAACTCTCTTTGTAAGACAGCATGTATGTATGAAGGAAATACTGTGACATGACGATCCCTCCCTGGCCCATAACCCCCAGGTATTTGCCCACACAACAGTGCTGACTTGAGTCTTAAGGATTTTAGTAGGAGTTCTGTAGCTGGCTCAGTCCCCACTGGCCAAGGATAGAATACAGGAAGATCAGAGCCTTGTAGGAAGAAGGTAGGTACAGGCAATTAGTACCAGATGGGCCTAGCAGACTAGAGCACGAGGTAGGCAGAGTTCCAAGATTCCCTCCCCTGGTGTAGATGCCCTGCACAATCCCCTCCCCAGCAACACCTGTGAGTATGACAGGATAGCATCTGTGATTTGGTTATATCACAAGACAAAGGTGAAGGGACTTTGCAAATATAATTAAGGTCTCAAGCCAGCTGGTTCTGAGCTAATCCAAAAGAAAGTTATTATGGGTGGGCCTGACATACATCAGATACAAATTCTTTTTTTAAAAAAGATTTTATTTATTCATTGAGGAGAGAGAGAGAAAGAGAGAGAGAGACAGCAGGCTTTCCATGGAGCAGGGAGCCAGATGCAGAATTTGATCCCAGGACCCCAGGATTATGACCTGAGCCAAAGGCAGACACTTAACCAACTGAGCTACCTAGGTGCCCCAAGATACAGATTCTTAAGAGGAACTAGGTACTTCCTGAAGAGAGATGTTCCCCTTCTGGTCTTGAAGAAGCAACAACCACATTGTGAGCTGCCGATGTAGACGGGCAGCTCTAGAAGCTGAGGGCCTCAGTCTTACAGCCATGAGAAAGTTAATCCTGCCAACAACCTTAGTGCACTTGGAAGAGGACCCTGAGACCAAAGGGTCCAGTTAAGCTGTGCCTGGGCTCCTGACCCACAGACACTCCAAAATAATAAGCATGTATTGTCGTAAACTGCCAAATCTGTAGTAGTTTGTTACTTGGCATTAGAAACCTAAGATAGATACAGTCACTAACAGAAATAGCTGAAGGAAAAAAAAAAGTGTGGAATAGGCACATATACAAAATACAGAAAAGCTTATTCTTGAGGAGAGAACCTCTGAAAATAATAGATCTATACTAATCACATCATTATGATTGTTTACAGGTTTGTCTTCCCCTGAACTAAGCCCTGAGGGGACTCTGCTGTCAGTATTTCTACTATAGGCCATTTTTACAGCCTCCTCCATGGGCTGTGCTGACCCAGACTCTGTGAATACAGAAATGAAGCTGTCCATATGCTCATGGCCCAGTCAAGGAGCAAATACACACAGATATATGTGGTTGAGAGTATTAATGGGCCCCTGGAGGATTTAGTGAGATACTTTGGGAGCCCTAGAAGCCAATCTGCCTGGCAGGAGAGCTTCACTGAAAAAATATATATAATTTATATGACTATATATATATTAATTGCAACTGCATGTAGGTAAATTATGGGAGAAGCAACAGCTGAAAATCAACTTGGGTCACTTCATAAAGGGCCTTCCCCATATAAAAAGCCAAGAGATTTGAATGGAATTTTTGCTGTTGATAATTGATAGAGAGCAGAAAAAAACAATTCTACACAGAGGTGTAATCTAATTAATTTGGTGTTGTGGGGAGGTCTGTGTGACAGCAGATAGGAGGCAAGATCAGAGGCAAGGGGAGCAGTAGGAAAGCCAGAGCAGGGCATAGACATGATGTGCTCACCCCTCTATCCCTACTGTAGAGCACAGGGCCCATCCAGGAGGAGGCCAAAAGTGTTTGTTGAACCTTAAACCAAGGAGTCATCAAATGAGAGCTCCAGAGGTGATAGGCAAGGAAGTAGCAATCTCTGAGAAGTTGAAAATTTTCACTCACCATGGAGCTGGGAGAGGGACTATTTCAGGCCTCCAGTGTCCAAGGAATGAGGGAGAGGATAAGGAGTTGAAAAATCAGCAAGTTCAAAATCAGGATGTCTGCTGAGCTCTAGCTGGAGAGGACAGGGCTGACCCCAAGGCCTGAGGAGCTGAGCAAGTCCAGGGACCAGGAGTAGGTCAGGGATCTAACTGAGCACCACTGTTTAGGGCTGGAGTCCTGCCTGACCCCTGGCATGAAAGTTCGGGCACATTCTAGCTCAGGCCACACTGGTACCCAAGCTTTCCCATCAGATTTTTAGGCGGCCTCTGTTCATCCTCTGTGGGATCACACTTACCCTTTTTCTCCTTCTTTCACTATGAGCTAACCCCTCTTTGGTCCCTCTCAGAGGGTGGTTCATCTCAAGACAATGTCAGCACCAAAGAAAATCATTTACTCATTCAACCAACTTGGTCCATTGCTTCGTATTTTAGATAGACACCCTCCTCTGTCTTCTGCCTCAGCATTAAGATGTTCCCTTTTCTGTCAAAACCTAATAACCCCTCTGTGTTGACAATCCCTCCCTCCACCTATTTGTTCGTTTCCTTCCTTAGTTATTCACTGACAAATATACACGGGCCCTAGACACTATTCTAGGCACTGGGACACAGCATTGAGCATAAAATGCAGGATCCAAGCTCTCATAGAGCTGACCTTCTAGAAGGAGAGGCAGAAAATAAGCAGGAGCAAATAAGGGAACTACAAGACTTCAGAGTATTAAGTACTCCGAAAAAAAATAGTAGAGTAATAATTGCCTCGGTTTCTTATCTCAACATATTTTTTTTAAGATTTTATTTATTTATTCATCAGAGACACAGAGAGGGTGGGGGGCAGAGACACAGGCAGAGAGAGAAGCAGGCTCCATGCAGGGAGCCCAACGCGGGACTCGATCCCAGGACTCCAGGATCATGCCCTGGGCCGAAGGCAGGCACTAAACCACTGAGCCACCCAGGGATCCCCCTATCTCAACATATTTGAGAACAACTACCCAAAGACCTAAGCCAAAAATCTGGAAAGTGTCCTGGACTTATCCTTCTCACTCATTTTTCACTTTCGATTATCAGACACCAAGCGATGGGATTCCAACTCTCAATGGCTCTCAAATCCATCTTCCCTTCTCCATCTCAATGACCCTTAATGCAGACACCATCGGTTGTCCTCAAATTACTGCAGTAGCCCCTAAATGGTCTTTCTTGAGTCTGACCCTCTTCCTACATGCAATGCCCCTGACGACAATCATTGGGTGGTTCTCTCTCATTTTTCCAATCAAATTCAACTCCCTTCGCTTTGCATGAGGGTCTTTTATTATCTGGGTCCTGCTGAACCCTTGAGTCTTGTTTCTTGATCCCCAAATGCACCTGCCCAACAGAGCTTCCACTCAGCCACACCTGCAGATCTTCGCGCTCCTGCGTTATGTACTCTCACGCCCTCTGGAGGTTGTGCCTGCACCCCACGTGCCCTCTGCGCATTCTTCACTAACGCTTTGTTCAAAACTCAGATCAAGCATCACCTCACTTTGGAACACCCTTCTTATAATGCCCCATGGAGTTCTTATTAGGATTACATTGAGAAGATGTATAAAATCTTTAGCACAACACCGGCAATCAGCTTTTATCTTATTTCCCTGATGGAGTTTCTCACATTTGGGTCAGACATAATTAACATGTAATTAAAGTTTTCCTATTTGCAGTGAAACCACCTCAGAATGCAGACACTGAGCTGGGCAACTCATCTCCCTCATTGTTTTCATAAAATGGACAGGAAAATTTCTTTCCTATTTATGTTTTTCTTGCTTGATACTTGTTATCATAATTCGAGTTCCTAACCATTATTCTTAATGGCCTGGAAGTGATTTGAATGGGATCATAAGGCTGAAGACAAATCCCTTAGATATCACCATCCTGACAACACACACAGTACTAATTCACTGCAGTTCCCAGTTCCCAACCTGAGGGTTGGCCAATGCCATCTAAAATTTCAGACTGTCTCTCGGCACATTGGTGGCCGCTGCTGACTGCCAGGGCACTGTGAGAATCCACCAACCTTCCATCCTCTCTGGAAGGATCTGGGACAACACACCTCTTCCAAACCAAGGTCTATCTGAAAATGCCCTTCCTGGGCTGACCCCTCACACTGAAGCTCTGACCTTCTATTGGGCCTTTAGGAACTCTGTGCAATGAAAAGCTGCTTTCTGAGGATGACTTTTCCTGCAGACACCTGTTCGCTGCTAAGATTTCCCTCCCAGCACCTGTACCCAAAAACCACACATCTGGTTCTTAACTCTCATACTTGGCCAGACCCCTATCTGTGCTGAGTCTGTGTCTCTGAGTGTGAGTCCCTAGAAGAGCTGCCAAAGACACAGTTCTCTTACTTGCATTCAGCAGATTCCGGATCTTCTTCTCCTCTTCGGCCTCTTGGATGAGCTTTTCGGTCAGGGTCTTGTCCTCTGATTCCACACACACATCAGCTTCTCTCAGGTACTCTAGGTAGTCGATCTCCCGTTGGGCACGTTCGACTCTCAGGACCAGGTTAGTCACTGCACTCTTATACTCACTCGTGTAGGTCTGACATCTTCCCAGCATAGCGGATATGTTTTTCGAGAACTCTCGGAAGTCTTGAATGTATGCCCTCGTGGCTTGGGTGCATTTTTCCAGTCCTTGCTTCAGTCAGAAAATACATTCTCAAATTATTGCTAGTTATGTAAATCAGCCAAGTAATATAAATAGCTATCATTCACTGAAAAAGATTTTTAAAATACAAATAATCATGATGGGGGAAAAATAAAAATCACCCATAATCCCATAATCACCCATAATGATTTGTTAGCGAATCAGTTTTTTAAAGTTTCCATGCATTTCATCATATATATGAATACATATTTTAAAATGCGATTTTACTATATGTAGGTTTTGTGACATATTTTCACTTGCTGATCTACCATGAACATATTTCAGTACTAATTAATAGATAGCTACACAATAATTTTAACGATCTAGAATTCCATTGACTTGATGTCCTATTATTTATTCTATTAGACTCTTTTGATGGATATTTGCGGGCTTTTCAAATTTTTGCCATTTGAACAACTCTGAAAAAAATCTTTGTATTTACATCTTTGTGTACTTATCTGGCTTTATTCTAGGGTAGATTTCCAGAAGTAAGTTCCATCCCTAGCACCTGGTTCAGGTCCTAGCACATAGTACTTAATATTTACTGAAAGAAATAATAAAATGAATGAAGAATGGAAATGGGGTGGCCATGTCAAAGAGGATGTATACTTAAAGCTCATTTGTCAGTCTATCAAAATGCTCCCCACAAAAGTTGCAAAAATTTAGACTACAAATAGCAGTACGTAAGGCTGTTCACTTTGAAGGAAAAGAAAGATGGAGAGGTAGAGAAAGAGGGAAAAAGTAAGAGGGAGAGAGGGAGAGAAAGACAGAAGCTACCTAAATATATTCTTTTATTTCTTTCTTATCCCTCGGACACAAATTCTTCAGGGTGAGGACTATATTGGTTTTTTTCTAAGTGTCCACACTGGCCATCAGGGACCACCACCTGGGACTTGACTTACCCTCCAGGTCAAGACCAGGATGGGAAGATCTATACAAACCACACCCCTATCTTTTTCAATTCCACATTCATAGCCATCAAAGTATTTGTCTATACTTTATACCCTTGTCTGCAGATCAACTTTTCAGTTACTGAGGAAAACCTGCAGGGAAATGCCTGGTGCTAATCCCAGGGTAAATTGGTGCTAAATGCAGAGGGACTATGGTTGAGTGTAATTCTAGCACTTTCTAGGAGGCACGCTGGGGAGGAGCTATCTGCGGAGAGGGCAAGTAAGGCAGCAGCAAAAGGCTACTGGCCTGGGAAGATCGCATCCCCTGCCCCCAGGCCTCAGCTTGTTGGACTGGACAACTTTAGGAAATGCATTCGGGTTGCTCTTTGGAATTATTTTATTTAACTAGATGACCAAAGAATTTGGACTTCAAATATATTTATATTGTTCAAGAACATATAGAAAATAAATATTGGTGATACGAGTGTCTTTGAAAAAAGTGTTTTTGGAAGATGAATAATTTATCAAAATTTAACTTGTACAAAAGCAAAGCAATGAAGTATGAAATAATGGCTAGGAGTATGTCAAAGACTAAGGCAGAGGGTTGCATTTGTTCCTGGAAGCCTGTCTGTGCCGAAAAAATGTTGGATTTTGTAAATTGTAAACAAGGGGCAGCTTCAACGCATGGAGAAGCAACCCGAGCACTCTATTTAACACGGCTTAAATCTACTCATTTCTAAACCCTGTGCAGTGCAGCAAAGAAACTAAGATGTAGCTTTCTGGTACAACATCATGACTTGTTACAGTGGCCTCATGTTCCATCATAAAAAGACAAAAAGAAAAGCTTAAATCTGCTATCATCCTGATATGGTAAAACATGAATAAAAACTGACCCAAATTTTTAGTTTTTCTATTTTAAAAATTGAAATTATTGAATAAGAATAACAATTTGGACATTTACCACCATGCCAGGTAATGTTCTAAGTATGGATTAATTTTTTAAATCTTCAGAATAGCCATAGGTCAATTCTATTATCATCCCCATTTTACAGATGAGAAAAATTGCTAGATCAGAGCATGGAGTGAAGTCCTGCTCAAGGCTGGGGAGTGGTACAGCCTGGACTCTGGAGTTGGTGCTCCGAGCCACTAGACCATGCGGATGTTCACGTGTTATGTTGGCACCATATTTATCAATTACTATGTGGGGAACATGCATCCCAGTAGATAGGGAAGCAGAGGTGAGATAAGGTGACTTCTGGGAGGGATGTTCCCTGGATCAGGTGCACAGATGCCACCTACCTCCAAGACTTGAAAGCGTTGGTAGATGTAGTGCACCATGGCCGGGTCCTGGGCACACTGTGGTGGGGGCAGAAGAGCTGCCAGGAACAGAACCAGGAAAGCAGAAGCTCGCCGAAGGGCCATCATTGTCCTGCAAACCACCCAGGGGTGGAATCTCCTAAGCTGTGCTCTCTAAGAAAACTCAAGGGTCCAGGTGGTGGTCTCCTGCTTTCTATCCACTGCTGGGAAAATCCTCTAAAAACAGCCAGGGAGCAAAGCCTGCTTGTTTTTCCACCAGATGCGTGATCTCACTTTGCAAGCCGGTGATCAAGTCCAGCTGTTGGCAAGCCCGTCCCTGGAGGCCTTGCAGGTCGACTTGGGCTAGAGAGGTCCTTGGGTCCATCTGTTACCATCACCCTTCACACACGCTGATCCTCTCCAGGCTAGTGGCTGCACCCTCTTGCAGGCCTGGGTGAATGTGCATTGGGGTGGGGGTGAGGGTGGGGAGGGCTTCCCCCCTTTCCTTGGCTCTTTGCGTTTTCTGCTTTCCTCCTCCCTGGTGGACTTTGCAGTCCAATCACAGGCTGACCCAACACAAACCACCCCCAATTTCTTGGAGTTGGACTCTCAGATTAGTTTCTGGCAAAAATTCCCAGGATCCTTTTCCCAGAAGTCCTGTTGGGAGACCCCACCCCTCTTCCAGACTCTCTGCATTCCTGTAGCTCTTAAAGGCACAGCAAGGAAAATGAAAGCTTGGCTACACCCCTGTCTGAATAGCCAGTGTACAGGGCTGACTGTCCCTTGGGGAGAGAGGTACAATGTGCCACAGGCCTGGCTGTCCCAGGGCTGACAGCTGAAAAATCTGGAGGACGGAGCTCAGAGGAGTTCTATTAAGAGGCACAACAATAGCTATCCATACAGTGATGCTCCCAGAGCCAAGCCATCAGGACATGGAAGTCCTTTTGTAAGGAAGTCCTTGAGCTTTTGCAATCTCTTGAAGCTGAATCCTCTTCCTGTAGCTACAGGCCAGTAGTTCATAATTCCTGCAGGCCTTGGTACATCCCTAGGGCAAAGTGGTAAAATCTTCCTTCCTTTCTTTCTTTCTTTCTTTTTTTTTTTTTTTTGCTTTGCTATCCAGGCCTTTAATGATCTCAATCTCTCCTTCCATGCTTCCATGGGTGGGTCCAACATACCCATGGTTCTTTCTCAATCATCTACCAAAGTGGGGACATGGGAAGAACTCTGGCCAGGAGTCAGATGATCTGGGTTTGCACTTGGTCCCTGCAAGAGAATTTTCCAGGGTGTATTTGCAAGTCCCTGTCCCCCTTAGATAAATGTTCCTCTCTATCTGTCTTCCACATGACCTTGGCCCCTAACTGTCCCTCCCGTCTTGCTTGGTAAAGTCACAAACAATGGCTCCTTATCTTTAAGGTTAATTCTTCCTATTTCCAATAACTGTCTTTGAACCATTCCCCAAAGGAGGTGAACTTCGGCTGACCCCTCCTCCTAAATGCTCAGAAACAACACTGTGCCACTCAGCCTCCTTCCCCAAGTGAGAACATTCTTGCAGAAACTCCTTGTGGCCAGCATCTTGGAACCAATCTTATGCTGGAGGAGCTCTAGTAGATTCTATTCTTGAATGCCCCCGGTCCTAACACTGAGACTATGAACTCAGTTGGGTAAGGTCCAGTGGAAGTAGAATTCTGATTGTATGACAACTAACTTTTGGGGGGCGGTGTTGTGGGAAAACTTTTTCTTGGTTTTCTGTAGCATCTTTACATTATTTTCACAGTGAAGCACACATTCAATACTAATGAAGCCGAAGGAATTCTGGTGAGTAGGTGAGAAAGCAGTGGGAGGCCATGGCTATTGCGTGAAGTCCCCAGGCCATGCCCAGCGTGGCTGCTGCCCTCCTGTCTCCACGGTGGGCTCCAGAGAGTGGGCCTGGGAGCCCCTCAGTCCCACCTGGCAGAAACTGATTGCCTGTCCCTGATTCAGGCCCACACCAACGTCTCTTCAGTCACCAGCGTCAGAGGCACTAGACTGGCCTCTCCACTCTAAGTGTCCATCCCCGGCAGTAGCTGGAGAACATCAGTCAGCAGGCTCCCCGGGCACATCAGGACTGATGGGCCATGGGGCAGACCCAGAGTGGAAACCCTTGTGTTCTCGTAACATGAGGTTTCACAAAGAAAGATTAAACTCCCTTTGGAGATAATCACAGATTTGACTGCCATGCGGGGGTCAACATACATCCTCACTCGGAGCAGGAAGAAAAAGATGGCGTGGTGCATGGTAGCTCACAGTTGGAATAAAATCATTTGCCCAGCTCTTTCATTTTCCTTATATTTCACCTCTGGCCTTGAGCTCTGCCAGCTTACTAGTGAGGACAGTGACCAAGCGCAGTGACCCCCCCCAACCCCACTTTTCTCCTCAGCAAGTGTCTGATCCTCCTGCTTTTCTGCCCCTGTATCCGAAGAAAGGAAACTTAAGCCCTTGACAGCCACCACTACTTCCTCAGTGTGGTTGGATCTAGGTCACTAGTCTTGATCTGTAAGCCCAGTCCTAAGCAGACTTTTCTAGATGACCAGTCAGAACCAGACCTGTCAGTGCCCAGCTTCCCAGCTTCTCTTAGAATTCTGTGCCACCGTCATCACAGGTGACACTTGTGCTGCTGTGCCTCTAGATTAACCAACTCCCTGATTTCTAGAGCCTCGTCTGCTCCCTGTGTCCTTCACAGAGAAGGGCTGGCCAAAGAGGAGACTGCTTTCTTGAGGAGGGAGACAGAATGCCATCTGGGATGCCAGCTAGCAGCATTTAGATCTGACCAAGACGCTTCCTGTTTTTTTCCTTCTCTTTTCTTCCCCCCATGCTTGGTATTTTATTCCCCACTCGGGCCCCAACCCCCACCCTGACCAACTCTTTGCCTTAACATCATCCTCCAGCCTTTTACAAGTAATTGCATTGTTTCCTGCCTGAGTGATCAGAGCAGCCTCCAATTCCCTGTCTTTTCACGGAAAGCATTGGCTGATTTTATGCCAACAGGAAGGCACTTTAAAACGTGACCTCGGCCAACCCCTCTTACCATCCCCCTTGTTCAACCTCCACAACTGCCACATCTAATTGTCCCTGGACTCCGAGATTTAACATCATGGCATCTTCGCTTAGCCTAAAATGTTTCTCCCTTTTGGGACCAGTGAACTCTTATTTGCCCTGCAAGCCTTCCCACCAGCTCGTCACCCCCATCCCTGCCAGTATAAGGCCCTCTCTCATCTGTGTCCATAACATGTTGAAGACCGAGGGGAAGGCTCCTCCGGACATTGGTGCTCTCTGATGGAGGGGTGTGGGCTGGCTGCCTATGGGCCAGTGCTGTGGAAGGAAGAGGAGGAGAAACATAGACTTCTTTTTTTTTTTTAACTTTTTTTTTTAAGATTTTATTTATTTATTCATGAGAGACAGAGAGACAGAGAGAGAGAGAGAGGCAGAGACACAGGCAGAGAGAGAAGCAGGCTCCATGTAGGGAGCTTGACATGGGACTCGATCCCATAGGACTCGATCCTGGGTCTCCAGGATCAAGCCCTAGGCCGAAGGCGGTGCTAAACCACTGAGCCACCCGGGCTGCCAGAAACATAGACTTCTTATGGGCTGTGTCAATCCGTAAAATTCTTATTTTGGAGTCCTAACTCATACACCTCAGAATGTGACTGCATTTGGAGACAAGGCCTTTAAAAAAGTGATGAAGTTAAAATGAAGCCTTCACAGTGGGCCCTAATCTAATCTGACTGGTGACCTTATAAAATGAGGGAATTTGGGCACACTGAGAGGTACAACGTGCTTAGAGGAAGTGCCATGGAAAGGCACAGTAAGAAGGAGGCATCTGCAAGCCAAGGAAAGAATCCTCAGAAGACACTAAGCTTGTTGACATCTTGATCTTGGAACTCTGACCCCTAGAACCATGAGAAATAAATTCCTGTTGTTATGGCGGCCCCAACAAACTTATATGAGCATCCACTAAATTGTCGAAAGGGGCAGCATGGGGACAAAATAGAAAAAGCTTCCAGTGGGGGTCTACAGGATGTTCTTGGCAGGAAGTAAATTGATAAGGAAGATCCTGGGTGATACACCACCAATGATTTCCAAGTCCAGCCTTACTGCTTGAGCTCCAAATCCTATTCTCACCTCCCTACTGGACATTTGCACTTGGATATAGAATAGATAACTCCAACTTGAGCTGTTTCTTGTTATCTTTCTACTCAAACTTCCCGCTGCATTTTCTCTCTCCCCAAATAGCACTATCTTCTGTCTACATATAAATGCAGAAACGTAGGAGTTATTCTAGACTCTTTCTCACTCTTATTCTTATGTTTAATTAGTTAATCAGTTGCCAAGACCTATTAGTTTTACCACATAAATACATATATCAAAAATGCCCTCTTCTATCTTTTTATTGCTACTTCCTTATTTAGGGCTTTTTAAATTTACTACTTTTTGCTCATTTATTTAACAAATATTTGGGGGTGCCTACTATGTTCCAATCACTGGACTGTGCCCTAGGGATACAATGACAAGATACAATGGACACATTCCTTGCCCACATAGAGGATGTAGTCTAGGAGGGGAGACAAATCACCCAGATGCATAATTATAATGCATCATTCATTCCTCCACAGGTATTGTCCACTGAGCACACCCCCAGAAATGTCTTGCATGCAAGTTGGTCTCCGTGCCTGTTTCCTAGGGAACCTAACCATGATACTTTCCTAGCACTATTCCTCAGTCATTGAAAGTCCATACAGAACTTTCATCACTGCCTCCAGTCCATTAAGTCCTCTGTTCTGTTATCTTTGCACATGCAAAGAGAGGGAGGAGTCCAATTTGATGGCTAGATTTGGCCTTGTCTTGCCTACAAAAGCCTCCATTCTGACCCCTTCTGGTCTATTATCTACCCTAAAGCCACTTTGCCAACCTCATTATGTAATTCCCCTGCTTAGGAGCACTGACTGTCTGCTAGTTCCTCCCCAATAAATCCAGAATTGCCCAGGCTCAGGGAAGGCTTCCTTTACAAGGAAGATGCAAGTTACATCTGAATTAAGATGCTAGCATATGTAAAATGTCAGCAAAGGAACAGGGGTAAGTGTGAGGTATGTTCCCAGTGGGGAGGTAGGCAGATAGACAGTCCTTTAGCTCTGACTAGCAAGGCTACCTCTAGGAAGTGACCATGTTTCTTTTGGACCCAATTTCTGCCAGTCTGTTTGTCTTTGCCTACGTCTCCCACTCAGTTCTTAGAGCCTTGTTTGGACACATATCCTTGCCTAGACCAATTCCTGAAAGACAGACACATTTGCTCTTGGTCTCTCCAGAACTGGTCCCTTGTCTAAATCTTTTTTTTTAATAATAAATTTATTTTTTATTGGTGTTCAATTTGCCAACATACAGAATAACACCCAGGGCTCATCTCATCAAGTGCCCCCCTCAGTGCCCATTACCCATTCACCCCCTTGTCTAAATCTGCTTGCTCTCACCTGACCACCTGACAGCCTCTCTGAAAGACACTTAAGAGTTTTGCATGGATGATCTAAGAACCTTAGCTCTGCTACAGAGGCCCACTTAATGAATGGGTTTTAGCA